CTTCAGATGCAGTCTAACACGGACTCATCCTAAAGCATCCCCACACAGGCTCCTTCTCATATATATCCGGATGCAGACTAACACGGACTCATCCTGAAGCAGCCCCACACATGCTCCTTCTCATATATCTTCGGATGCAGACTAACACGGACTCATCCTAAAACAGCCCTACACAGGCTCTTTCTAATACATTTTCAGAGTTTCCCTCAAGTAGGAGAACAACATAAATCAACATTCCCCAGCGGAGTCCTCCTCAGACAGCAGGAGCAAGAATTCACCACAAAGGGACCATTTATGAAATCGACACCTACTTTGGATGGCATCTTTAAGCCCATTTCCAATGACTCTCAGTCATATCCTCCAAATGGCATCTGTAAGCCCATTCTCGACATCATCAATCATTAGTGTTACTTCATGCGAGTGCAAATTTCTGGGCACTCTAGTGTTCAATCATCTTCCACCTTCAGATCACGAAAGGTAGACAAGCCAATCTAAATCCTCGAGTTTAAGAAGATTGAACAAGGGCAGTTGTTGTACCCCAAAATTTCCCTCCCATTTTTACTCAAGACATGCTCATTGAGGTTCCCAATTTCTCAAGGATGACCAAGAGTTAATCAAACAAATTCTCCTCCTAAGCAGTGAACCTATAACTAGGGTTTCATTTTACATCAAGATGTGTGAGCTCCAAAGGTCTCAAATGTTTTCCATTGTCCTAATATGCCTTCAAGATTGTCTATGACAAATTTCATGCCTTACATTACAAGTTTGCTCAGTCAATTGCTCAAATGTTTGAAAATCAACTATACTAGGTCAAAAGTCAACTGTGACCAATGTACAGTCAAACTTCAAGATTTTTGGTAAACATCACCATTTTGAATTGATATCCATCATTTTATCAAGGGTTGATCATTATTCCTCAATAAATACTCCTAATCTATCAAAAGTCAAGAATTGCTAAATTAGTGTTTCTATAGGAAAAGTCAATTGAGCTTTGACCAGGCTTAACTTTCACATGCTTCATCCATTTTCCCCCAACCAAAGCTCATTTTGAAGAGAATCCAATTCTCTACAACTTCTCTTTTTCCTTCAAGTCCAAGAAATTCACCATTTGAAAGATACAAGCTCATACATTACATGTCATTTTCAGAAAGTCAACAAAAGACACTTTTTGTCAAGACCATTTACATCAAGATAAAGTCTTCAAATGCAAAATTGATAAAAAGAGGGATTTAAGTAGACATCTTTTTATTTCCAAAAAGTCAAAGATCATCATCATGAGATAAAAATTGAGCAAGTTATGGCTTGCCTAAGTTGGGAAAATTTTGGAAATTTCAAGAATTGTGCATTGAGCAAACTTAAACTTTTAGGTCAATGACTTAATTTCTTGGACTTCAAACATCTTCCTAAAATTATAGAGGACCTATAATATCATTTTTACATTGCCTTATAATTTTTATTTATTTTGTCCATATTTATTTTGATTTATTTCAAATAAATATAAAATAAATTGTACAAAATAAATAGAGATGGGCTTTGGAATTTGGGCTGATGTTTTGTCTTTCCTAGAAGCCCATAAATTCGTGCAAATATGACCAGATACATCCAAGTCCTAACATGGCATGGAATCTTCAATTTTGACAATTTTTCAAAATAAGTATCATGGTTTTATCTTGGCCTTTATGGGTTTGATTCTTTCCACGTAACCTTGCTCCTTCCATTTCCTCTATATAAGGGTCATCCTTGCAAGCATCTCAGACGCATACACACAGCCTAGAGAACACTCTAAAATTGCAAAAAAAATCAACAAAGTTGTCAAGATCAAAACACCTTTTGCAGGCATCCTTAGTCAAAAGCAAGTATCATAACAAGTCCTTGAGCCCTCCAAGACTCATCCCTGCCCGTCACAAGATCTGAAACATCCTAGATCACTGTATCCCATTACACCAGTGGTAAGATTTTTCCTCTTTTCGAATCTTTAATTGCATGAATATTTAACCTCTTTTGATGGTACATGTATACTAGTAATGTAGTTTAGGGCATGTTTGGATGATCATATGTCGTTTTGGACGTCAGAAACACATAGTGCCATGTTTGATCGTTGTTAGGGTTTTGTGTTCGAATCCAGTGATACACGAGGCTTTAGCAATTTTAGAGGCCATATTCATGATCAGGGGACTTTTTTAAGTCATTATGTATTGTTTGTTTTTATGTTTGATCATGTTTGCAGGGGGTCTCACCTGAGAAGACGGTGGAAACCACCGGCTCCGGTGGTTGGACTGGTCGAGCTGAGGTCAAAAGCTGGCGTGGCCTTATGCTTTCATCCTATTGGTTGATTCAAAATATTAGTTCTCTCCCTCCACTCCTTATTGGTCCACCCAAACACCAGGGTCCCACATGCGTTCAATTGTTTTTTAATTTAAAATAATTGCATTTGTTTATAATATATATTTATGGATGCGTTTAGGCTAATGGAAGTGTCACCGTCCCAACGGTAGAGGCAACGCGTTTAAGACTTTGTTATGTGTAAGGTCAGGGGTTCGAACCCTGCCTCTTGCATATTTCTTTTTCTAACGCTTTATCAACACTCTTGAGGACTGATACAGGAGTTATCATAAAGCGAATCGCCGCACTAAGGAAATTTCAAAATACATTTCGAAAACACACAAAAGCACAAGGTATTTTTTCAAAAGGGGCTAAGCACCTAAGAGCCTGTAGAAAACTACGGATGGAAAGGGTGCTAACACCTTCCCTTTCCATAATCTATCCCCTTACTCAGAAAATTCTCGAAAAAGTCTTTTTCTGTTCTTTTCACCCTTTCCTTTGTTGGATAAAAGAAAATTCAGTGGTGACTCTTGCTTACCGCGATATTTGTGAATACAAACGCAAAACCAGTACAACAGTCGGTTCTGCCACCGTATCACAGAAGCCTACAAAAAAAGTTGGATTTTTTCTTATCTTCAAACAGTCCAAGGCTAAAGGGGTTGTTAGGATTAAGTAAAGTTTCATGCAGAACGAAGGCTTAGAGCAGCAATCTTGGAGATGAAAGATTTAAGGCAAAGTTAAGTGAAGATTTTTCAAGATCTCATTGTTAGATACTATGTACAAGCCAAAGAGAGTTCATATTAAAGATCTTTATTTTCAGCATTATGCAAATTTTCATAGTATAAAAAAACCATGCATAAATTTATCAAACTCATAGTGGAAGAACAACATACTTTTAATGAGCGGCCATTGGAGAGTAGAAACAACATAGTGAGGATGAATTGTCGAACTACTATACATTGGGCACATCAACTTGTTCTTCTTATTCTCTCTCTCTATTTTATTTTTGATTAAAATTGAATGTTTGGGTTTATTAATTTCTTATAATCGCTTGTTGTTAGGCTTTATCGTATTGATAGAGATTTAGTTGATAAACTTTGATTTTGTTAGATTGATAATTCAAAATTTTCTTGTTGTTGATTAAATCTCAAGACTGTAATATTATATTTCTTATTGTATTGATAATATTTATTTTACATACTCGTGTAACTCGATTGTGACTCAACCAAAATATTGATTGTTTCGTGTATTCTTTTATATACTATCTATTTTATGTTCTGATTGAGTGCTATGTATATTCTATCCAAAAAAAACCATGCAAATACTTTTCAAATTCTGATTTTGTTAAATAAACGCTTTTTTAAGTATACCAATTTTTCGAAGGAGGTCTATTCAACTCTCCTTCTTCTAAACCATTTAATCCCCATATTCTCACCCAACAACTAGTACAATGAAAAATTCTCTGAAGTATTTTTCACTCACAAGAAACTAAAGGAACTCTAGTGACAAAACGTAAGGAGAGAAGAGAGAAAATCAAGAAAATAATAGTAGAAATTTGAATTCTAGTATAATTTGAAATGAGGAGAAACCCTCTATTTTTAGGAGAAAATATTTCTCATAAAGGAAATCAATATATGACCTAATTAATGCTTATAATCGATTAGGTGCTAGATCTAATCGATTATGTAGGCTAAATACGAAAGATTTTCACATTTGTCTCCACTAATTGATTAGAAATCCTCTTAAATGATTAAGAGGCGTTGCAAAAGAGATCAATGATAAATTATAACGTGTTAATCGATTATCTAGTGTAAATCACACTCCTAACAGTTTATTCAAGCTAGAAACCAACTAATTACTGCTGTCAAAAACAATTTCAGATGATTTTACAAAAGCATATAGACTTAATAACATTTTGGTGCGTGTGTAAGTGTTGCCTTAGTATCTTAAGAGATACTCTTATACTTTTACAATACATTGAACACTTAAACACAATATCATACAAACTTTCACACTTGCTCTCTTTCACAACCTTAAAGCTTCAAGATCCCTTGCTAGATTCACCATTAATTTAACATTTCATCTAGGACTAGACTTCTTCTATTTTATAATGTTTAATTTGACTTCTTTGATACACATCGTCACCAGTGATCGCTTTATCAGAGATCTACAATGACATCACAGAATACTGCTTGGCATTAGGTGTTGTTAGCATGAAAACCAACAAAGATCATCTCTAGATGATTATACCAACAACCACATAGCTCCACAAGTTTTACTTTAATTGTCGATTGTCTAACACCACTCTCTCTTTTTATGTAAGTTTGAGACGACTATGCATAACTAAGATGACATAGGCAGGATTAAATTTAACTCTTTATAAAAAAATAGTTTTAGATAAATGGTTTTCTTTCGAAAAGTCACTAATAACACCTTTATAAAAGTTTTTTCTACAAAACCTTCTTCATAAATACATACAAATTAATTATTATAAAAAACTACCCAAAAACTAAAACTTAAAACGATATTTTTATTAAAAAAAAAAAAAAATTTCAAACGTTGAAGTGATTTGCTAACTAGATGTGCATTCTTAACCATTGGATCTAAATAATCTCTCCATTATATATTCCTCAAACCAACCTTATCGCACAGTGTGTTTCCTATCCTCTTTCTCAGTCATGGCTAGCGTATCATCATCACTCCTTCTAGCATCACCTTCTCCACTCTCCATCCAATTCCAATCCTCCTCCTCCCACCTTTCCTTCTCTCGCTCCCAAAATCTTCACTCACCGCTCACCACTTCATCATTGCCGTCGCTCTCAGCTTCTTCAATCTCATCTCTTTCACCAACCACTCCTTCTGGTCATTTTTACGGAAAATATTCAAATTTTGTTATGATTTTGCTTTATTATGCGTGAATTTTCATAACCCATTTTTTAATTTTGCTTCTTTTTTGTTTTACCAGTGTATTGTGGCAGAGGCGATAAGAAAACTGCTAAGGGAAAACGCTTCAAGCATTCCTTTGGAAATGTAATGTTTTATCTTCCCATTTTACCCCTTTTCAAATTCTATAGTTGTTTTATTTATTGTTTTTTTTTTGTTTTTTTTATTTCATCCTCTGAATCCGACTACACATGTTGTTTGAGTATGATTTGATTTAATTTTATGTTAGTAATGTATCTATTAATTTAATTTGTCTATTGAAAAGTGAATATTAGACTTGAAAATAAAATGAGACTATTATAGAACTAAAAACATTTAGTTATTATTATTATTTGTGGTAGATATTTGCTGAAATTGCTATGGTGTTGTGTTTTTACTAGTTCTAATATTATTTTGAAATGTTATAGTCAAGACCAAGGAACAAGAACAAGGGTAGAGGACCACCTCGGATTTATGCTCCACCGGATTCTACCAAAAAAGATAAGCTTGAAGATGATGAAGTGCTTAATATTGACATTATCGAATGAATCCCTCTTTTTTCTGGTTGATTCTTGTGTTGCATGGTAACATTTTGAGTTTTTCATGATTTTGTAGTTTTTGATGTATGGATTTCATTTGGCATATACTTTAGATTTTGCTTGTTATCTTTAATTGAGTGTGTCATTTGCTATCTTTCTAAGTTTAATCACTATAATTTACACTTTTGCTATAACATTTTGAAGGTGGGATTAGAATCAGTGTTATGGTGTTCTTATGCTGTTGTAATTTGAATGCATAATACTTTTATGGTGTTGTTTGATTCTTGTTGTCAATCCAACAAGACTTGGTTGTCTACTAGAAATACTTTTAAACATATAAGATTATAATCACTTGGGAAAGCCATGTATTGATTGTGTTCCTTCTCTACTACCTATGGAGCTACCTGCTATCCACATTTAATGTTTCTTATAATAGATTTCATTAAGTGTGTGTTTGTTTTGACGTTGAGGAGAGTAAAATAACGCTTCGAACAAAAAGTTACATTTTGTAGCTTTTAATATTCACGGAGGAAGATCGGGAACAAATATAAATTTGATATAATTGAATTGAAGTATTTTTTTAAACTTATATTTCATTATCACAAAAGAGACATGTCTCCAACCTTAGTTTTATATAAAAGACACATTGATCAATAACAATCAGATTCATCTTTAACTACGTTAATTTTGGTGGATCATCTTTTTATTATTCATGATAAATAAATACACATTCATCAAATAAGCATTGGTCTCTTCTTTAACTACATTAATTTTGGTGGATCATCTTTTTACTATTTGGACCATATTAGATCCAATAATCATTTAAATTTTTTTTTCTTTTAAAAAAATTCAAATGATTCAAATAAAAAAAAATTCAAATGATTCAAATAAAAAAAAAGTTAATAAGATATTTGGTAGATCTGCAACATTGTTGTGTAAGTTAGATATTTAAAATTAAAAATTAATAAAAATAATTAATTTAATTAACCGAAATTAATTTTAAAAATCTAAAAATAATAACAATTAGTGATGGGAATAAAATAAAAGTAACAAATAAGTTAAATAGACAAAAAAAAAGTAAAAAAAAAAGTAATTAAGTCATGCAAAAATCAAATTTTATCGAGGTCAATGTTAAACACATATAAAAAGACACTTTTTTTATCCAAATATATTTGGCTTAAAGTTATATCCTAAGATGATTGGCCTTTGGGTATTATGGAAAAATAATTAGAGTTAGCCTTGGGGTAACTTGTATGTAAATAGAAAATTATAAAAGAAAAAATGAATATTTGAGAGATAAAAAAATTATTAATGTTGATGATGTTCATCATCTAAGTTCAAAGGAGGTTATTGATTAAATTTATAATTTGTACAAAAAATAATGGAATTTTAGAAAATTATATAAGATTATTTAAAATAATAGAACTTTACAAAAATAGATAATAGATACATAGTATATAAAATGTAATATGAGTTAAAAATTAAAAGCATTTTTATTTCTAACATGTTTAATGTTAGTTATTACAAGACATGCATGTTTCTAATAGTCATATTAAATATATGAAAAATAAGAAGAAAGAAAATGGTTCTTTTATATGATATGATACTATTGATTTTATTATAGATGTAATTGGTACCATTATTTATGATTAATATGAAAAAATTATTAAAAGTTATACTTAAATCACGAAAAATTTTCAGAGTTGGTCCTTATTACTTTAAGTCATTTTGTATAATCAATATTGATCAAAATAAAATTTGTATCATCAATATTAAAAATAAATAAAAAGAGATTTGGGCCACATGTTCCATAATTGCTTGCCACGTGCTGTAAAAGTATCATTTCACTACTATTTATTTATTGGTTTATTATTATTATTATTATTATTATTATTATTATTATTATTATTATTATTATTATTATTATTATTATTATTATTATTATTATTATTATTATTATTATTATTATTATTATTATTATTATTATTATTATTATTATTATTTATTTTTTCTTTCAAAAAGGCTCATATATAAAGTTAAAAAACAAGTGCTACAAAAGAAAACACAAGAAAAATAAGTATAATTTCACTCAAATTCGAAGCAAGTAATTCTAACCTCTTGTTAATATTCTATTATCATATCTAATTTAATAGTGATCTCTATGAAACATTGGATCAAAGTAGAAACCGTTCAAACTATCATCTTTCTATATAAAGTCTTAACTTGTCAAGACATGGGTATTCTATTCATGTTCTCACATTCATACTACTTCTCATCTATTCACTAATTTCGACGTTGGAGTACTAAATTTGCAGGTGCACTCTGCTCAGTTGTATTTGAAGTACACTTCACCACAATTGAGTTCAATTTCTCTCTGTCATCAATTATTTATAGTTTCTGAAAAGACCAGTAGACTGTGATACATACGATATATACGATCAAACGAAAGCGGTTATAACCTCTCTCTATATATAATGCCCTTCACATACTAGGAATTAGGTATTCGTTTTATTCTCACACTGATATTACATTCATTCACTAACATGAATGTTAGAGTGCTAACATTGCAGGTTCATCTCACTTGGTCGTTCTAGGAGCATATTTCACTTCATATGAATCATACTTTACTCTTTCATAAACTATTACTAGTTCTTGAACATAAAAATGGCGTCATTTATTGGAATCGATATCTAATTTTTGTGTAATTCCACGAGAAAGAAATGTTTCTTCATCGTAACTCAACAAACTTTGATATTCTCTTTTCCTCATTTAAATCCCTGATCGAACTCTCAATAGGATAGGATATAAAAAGACTCATTATAAGTTCGGACATGAATTAACTACATAAAAAGGGAAAGGGAATTTAAGGAGGACTTAATAATTTCTCTCATTAGTACTCTCAACAGTTAGTTAAGTTATGCATATTATTCACACAACCAATTCAAGTACACAACACATACCCCATTTACATCATGTCATTTCCTTTTCTGGTAACAAGTATAATTCTTGCATTCATGTTAAAATAAAAATAATCCCTATGAAGATGATACAAATATATTTCTCACTTTTGATTTTTTTTGGCATATTTTATACTACACTTACATTTTTAGTCTAATAACGGCTTAAACCTCTAACTATTTGGTGAAATAATTCATGCCTGCAATTATAAATTTCAGTTTGGAGCATCTGGAAATGGTCCTATAATGTCCACACGCACATGTGAAATGGCCATTACCTTGGCTGAGGCGTGACATAAATATGATAATTTATGGAACTTGTTGACGAAGTCGGTGCCATCTCTCAACATAGTCGAGATAAAATACTTGACCCTTAATAACTTATTCCTCAATACTCTCCCTCTAATATAACTTACATGGATACTTTCGTGTACCTCATTAATACATGGGTAGCTTCATTCTCACCCAATTATCTTAACATTAACGTGAATTGTCATATATTGTATAACTTATTTGCAATCAGACTATATTTTGAAGATAATTAGGACCGACCTAACCCGTTTAAAGGTCTAAAGAAAATTTTAAAATGAGATGTTTAAAATGTATTTTAAAATAATAATTTTGTGGTTGCTAAGAGTTGAACTTAAGACCAAAAAGAAAAGAGGCCTACAATTTACCAACTTAACTATGACAATTGTTCTTGCTAAACACCAAATATGAGATTTCCCTGCTGCTCGGAATATGACATGGAGAACCTTAAACGAGTGAGAGGATGTTGTTTATGATATTGAGGGATACGAAGGCTTACACGAGTATGTGTAATCTCCAAGCAATGTGTTGCTTACTCCTCAGTCGGGAGCCCTATATATAGAGAGGTGTATGAACCTCATTGATTATTGCATGTAGTGGTATGTCTTTCTGTTATACGGTGGCAGAACCGACTGTTTTTACTGGTTTGCGTTTTGCGTTTTTGTTCGTAAAATGTCTCGGTAAGCAAGAGTCGCCATCGAATTTTATTTCATTCAATCATGGAAAAGGAAAAAGAACAGAAAAAACCTTTTTTCGAGATATTCTGAGTACGGGGGGTAGATTATAGAAAGGGAAGGTGTTAGCACCATTTTTATCCGTAGTTATCTACGGGCTCTTAGGTACTTGCTCATTTTTCAAATTTCTTGTGTGTGTTTGTCTTGAAAATGTTTTACTTCGTGATAACCCTTGTATCAGTCCTCAAGGATGTGACGAAGTTTGTTTTGAAAATTTGATTTGAAAGGTGTTTATGTGAAAAGTTTTTATTGAGCAAGTACTTAAGATTCTACCTACTCGAAAAAAGATTGTTTGTTCTTGTTTCCTTTAGATAGCGCTATCCTACTATTAAGTAGTAGGTAGCACCTTCGTTGGACTTGTAAGGGATAAGTACAATCACTAAAGCAACAGTTAGAAGACTTTAGTAGTAACCCTAGAGTCTTAAGATCTTTCCGAGGCAACATCTCTGAGGCAACATTTCCGAGGAAACATTCGAATGGGACAATTTGATCTTTTAGACTGGAGGACAACCACTAAAATCTCCTATGCTTAATGATTGTTCACCGAAGGCAACCGAAGTGAGGTAGACCCTAGGAGTGAATATGTGCATATGATTTGTTTCAGTTATTTAGTCTTTGCACATTAGGTGATCTACCGTTTTAATTTCAGATATTCTTTCCATACAATCCTATTAGCATACATCTAGACAGTTAAATATCTGCAGGAATTTAAAATGCGAAAAATAAACCTAGCTTTTACAAGGCTTCGACAATTACATAGTTGTCTTGACGGGAAATAAAAGTGCAGAATTTAAAACCCTAATTAAAACTATTACAAGCTCGAAACAGTTACAATAATAATAAAACAAATTAAAACGTGCGCGGCAAATTAAATGCGAGGAGAAATTGAAAACCCTAAACCCTAATTGAAAGAAAAAATATTTTTGTATATTTTTTATTGGAGAAAACAATGAAATTGCAAATTAAATAAAACCCTAATTTCTAATTGCTTTTTAATTATAAAAAAAAG